CTGCCACTAGTGTTCCGCATCACCTTTTTATTTAGGTGAACGGCATCATTTTTCGAATTCATTGTTAAACCAGTTTGATGGACAGAATTGGTCACGAAAGTAGTCTTACCTTCTTGTGTTACCACCTTACCACAATTAATGATCCGCCATTTCGTAATGACTTAGTGTGAACATTTTTAAACCTTGATAAGCTTATTCAGTAGCTTGAGGAATCCATCAGACCCTTGTATTGGCGCAATGAATTGAATGCATCGATGAACAAGCTGAGGGCAGGATGTCAGTAGACCTTGACATAGTGACACGCGGAGCTGCTCGATTGTGAAAATTGATGAAGCACGAAAATCTTTAAGCAACACGTGGAATGCGACTAAATCGAACCATAACTAACCAAGCATGAAAATGCACAGGACTTAAAATTACTCAAGCGGTGGCGTTCTCCGTTATTAATGGATGTTGAAGAGTACCTTCCTATATGTTGACCATGCAGTTGGGTACAGGAAAGGGTGAACTGACAAAGTCCATGAAGCAGCCTGACGTTTCTTCCTATTCCTTTTCTGCCTTTGGGCAAAAATAGTCACTGGGTTAAGTAGACAAGCAGAAAATACAATTAAAAATGGCTACCTGCGCTACACCTACTTTTCTGCCTTCCCGCCGACTGCCATGCGCACACCTGTTTTCTGTCAGCGACGTGCCCAAGGGCACCAGACTTAAGGAAAAGGTGGTGGAAGTGGAAATTGGCTAAAAGCTTCATTTGACGGGGTGTCGACAACACGACCACCACCCCAATCCTGTAGTTTTATGATCCTCTCGGATGTTGGTAAAGCAGCTAATCTCCTTTGATAGTTAGATGACATTTCGCTGTTGAATCGCGAATCGTTGGCATTATTGTTGCAATTGTATGGTTAAACAATCTATGGGCGGTTAAATAGCTTCACCTTCAAAGGGTTTTTCAAATGCATGCAGAAATAGATGTTTATTTACATCGGGAGCTGCTAATGACGAGAATTTCATGTCTTTCTTTTAGTTGCAACACTTGATTTTTCTCTGTAAGAGCTAGTGTAGAGTTACTGGAGTCGAAAAATTACCTCGTTTTACCGGATCATTTGATGTGTAATTAAAAGACCTTCTTCCAACATTATGGCACAATGCGATTGAATAAGCTAGAAATAACGGATTGTGCACTGACTGTTATTCACTTGCACACGATAGCAGAGGGGGTGTAATTCAGTCACCATTAAATAAGGAAGTAATTAGAAGGGATGATGGAGGGTAGTGACATAGAGGTGAAAATGATCGTTCCCTTGTTTTTTGGTCATGAAGGCTGCGTCTCGTTCCTGTTGTTGAATGACTAGGTAACAACACAAGTGATAAGCTTACTACCTTTATCTCTATCTCCTTGCTGACCTATTTCTTGACCTAGCGCCTTCCCATCTACCTTCCTGGTATCCAATTGTTATTAAAACTTTTCACTTTTATTGCGCTGAGTTAAGTCGCGATCTATAAAGTAGGTTATACGATTGTTAACAAAAACAGTTTAAAATAACATTTGTCGAACTTTAAATTGTCTTTTTTAAGAAGATTCTTTTGGATTCCTGCTCTACGCCCACCGCAGAGTATGGAGTGTCCTGCGTAATATATGACAACTAATGCCATGCGATATAGCTAACTTCCTTCGCTGATTCATCTACTTTTCACATGACTGCTTTATGGTATTACACAATGTATGGTGATGTCAAATAACGTCTATGGATGAAAGCCCACATAACGCGATATACACCAATGCGCAGAATAAGCTACGTATCAGTTGGCAACATAGTTAACTCCTGTTTGCTTAGCTGCGGTCTAGAAATCAAAAGATCAATTTATTCCAGCTTAAATATGGTCGAGTATCTTAGCCTTTGAACGTCCGTCTCACTTGCAGGGAAGCAGCTGAAGCGAATCGTTGATCCATTGTGCTAAGGGTGCATTAATCAGGGACCTAGAATTTGTAAGTTTATTGCTTTCCTAATTTTTTTTGCAAAAAACTCATTGTTAACGTTAATCAATTACACTTTTTCTCCTCCTTATTAAATCCCTTCAAAAAGAATTTCGTTATATAGTTCACCAATTTATAACTTACTTTATTCCGGTTGATAACATATTGGATCTGATAGATAAGGCGTGCGTCACTTTCCAGCCCATTATTTATCCCAACTGGAATGATAAGGAAGGAAGAAGGAGCATTTACACTCTTTATTCTAAATGATTTATGGATCTAACGAGTGGTTTTCACATGTTCATTCTTGTTGTTAGCTGCCTTAGAGATAGGCACACTTAACCGTTTTTGCGGGAACAGTTCAGAGCCCATCTACTGTGTTTAACTTAGCATAGCGTTTTTTACTTTAATTCGCAGGTGAGTTACTTCCACTTAAATTATACTGATCCCTCTAATCAAGTCTTTACTCAAATAACAAGAGTGACATCAAATTAGATTTTAGATCATTACATCGACGTTCAGGCACTACAACATTAACAACTATGGAAAAAATCCACTATTGGCACTGTCCGATTTCCTCCACAATCCATCAGCATTACATCAATTGCATTTGTCGTTCGCCCTATTATTTGCACACCTACCTTGTGTGTTTAACACATTTTCGTCTAAAACCACTGTCGACACTGGGAAACTTGGTGTGGTTAACCCATTGGCCCAGTTCCTAGATGAATTCTAGTAGGAAGACAGTTATTTTATTCATTCCACTGCATCTTATCTCCGGCTTTATTGGATGAGTATTGCAGTAAAGATGATTACCGACGCTTCCCATTACTCTTTTATCTCTAATCAGTGAGGTGTCAGAGTTTGACCTCCAAAATTATTGACTTCTGGTAGACTCAGCACTTGGGTCGATTTTGTCCTCACTAATTTGATCGTTCGGTCATTTAAAGAGAAGACACACAAGTCTTGAAGTAAGTCACACTAAGACAATCATAAAAGCCCATATTTAGTTGCTTTAGTTTGCTTGCTTAGGAAACCAATATGCGAAATCAACCTCAACATCATTATTACTAAATGAATTCCTCCCCGTAAGCAGTCGCCCAAATCTCTTGCCCTGCCTTCCCACAATGGATTATGTCACGTCCGGTGGTTGCAGATGGAAGGGCTCGATCCCCGACACACACCATGACTTCCTCCTCAAATAGATATCTTTTAAAACCTGCTCAATGTCTCAGTCTACCTCCATAACTTCAAATGTCATGGATATAATCATTCTTATTATTCGGAACTCAAGGAGGAGTTCTACAAGAATGGCTTTCACATAATGTGAATTATTCATCTTTAAGAATAAGAACTTTGCTAAATTTAAAATTGGTTATATAATGGGCATAACCTTTATTAGAGATAGTACATTTGCCTCAGTTTGCTTTGACAGGGCGGGTCTTTTCGGAACCGAATTCATGAAGATGATGCCTAAATTCTAAGAGTTTTTGAGTTATCAGTAAACAGCGCAATGGGGCTCTGCCCTAACGAATTCCTATCAGGCTGCCATTCTCACTAAAATCACACACGCACGCACACATGCACAAAAGTGGAGGGGTGTTCCGGTTGCCAAGTTGCTCGTATCAACCCACATCCCTAGTTGGTGCATTGGCTCGCAACCAATCGTTGCCTCAGGCCAATCAGTACGCAGTATACCACGCATTGGTCATTGCTTCCATCTTTAGCGCTCATTTTTACAAGTGACGTGTGATTGGCGTACACCGGAAAAGCCCGTCGACGGACATGGCATCCATTGGCTACCTCACCCTCCACCAATGAGTGGCTAGTGCTATGACTGTATGAAAGAAACGGGGTGGTGGTCTGTCGTCATATTACTTCGTGCAGACTTGAATACAGCCCTGTTCGACACATACGCACGTATACTTTTCTACCTTTGCAACACTTTCTGCTCGTGATTGCTACCACCTTTGTTGTACTATAAGGAAGTACTTTGGATCTTATATCTACTGTAGTCAAACTGCACCCAAATAAAAGCGGGATAACTCCTCTCATTGGACCAAAGTTCCGTCTCAATGCCATAACTTCCCTCACCTTGCATAATGAATCGTGGTAAAAATCGGAATTCAGGTATTTATACCGTCGAAAAATTGCTCGACCGACGAGTTAGAATGGTGAGTTTTAATCCCAAAACGTGTTTGTATTTTCATTTCAGGTGTATTCTCGTTTGCATTTAGTCGGTATGATAACGCGCATTGGCTGCATAAGCCAAGACGATGTGGCTGAATAATTATGCGTTTCCGAATTCCTTTATCTGATATTGTCTACTCCCTTTTTTAGAACAAAGTGGAGTATCTCGTCAAATGGAAGAATTGGAATGACAAGTGAGTATTTTCCCCCTACATGGACTTAAATTCGTGGGGTGATAGTGGGAAGGCTTGTGAAATTCTCGCGTTTTCGCGTTAGGCCTGCAAGCATGCATCAGAAGCGCGTGCGTGCTTGTGTGCGTACGTATGCTCCTTGCACGCACGTACGTACGCACGCTAGTGTGAAGACAGCTGTGTTTGCTGACGATCGATGTTGGCTCTTAATTGGCTGCAAATGCATTGATCTGTCCTTGCGCGTGCGTGCGCACATACCCCGCGCGTTTTAGTTTTGCAAGCAAGCATGTGTGTTAGCGCTAGAGAGAATGCGGGCATGCGTGCTGCGCTAGCACGCGAGCACGTGCGTGCGCACACGCTAACCAGCTTAGCATAGGCTTAGAGTTGTGCAGTGGTCTAGGTTTCGCTCTCATGCCTTGCTTTCTAGGGTAGGGTTAAGGTCTTGGAAATCTACTAATAACGAAGGCCAGTATACCCAATTAAGTCCTCCAAGGGAATTTAAAGCAAATCTATTAGAGGGCATTAAAGGTTTGGAAGGACATTAGTTCCCTTGCACCGTATTTTTTGCCTCATTAAAGTTAGCTTGAAGATTAATAAAAATGTGTGAATTTCCAAGTGTAATTTTTGTCATTGCCTGTGAGTAAATGGGATCTCCGTCCTCCTTTTCTTCAAGACATAATACTTGGGAGCCGGAGAAGAACATTTTGGACAAATCGCTTATCGAAAATTATCAGAGAGCAGAGTCTAGGAAACGCAAGGCAAATGCATCTGCAAGTAGTAGACCTCAGAGTCCATCCACAGACAATAAAAGGGCGAAGGGTGCTGGTGACAGTGCACCAGATAACGCCGGATTAAGTGAACCGCTAACGGTTAACGTCTCAGCGGCCAAGAATTCTCTTCCAGCTGCTCATTCTGGATCTAGTTCCGTAGGCGCTACTACTGCCTCTTCTGTTGGATCTCCTCGTAATTCCACTTTTGATAATGTCAACACCAGCAACGATGTCTGTGAATGGAGAATGGATAGTCGATTACGACCAACAACTCTACTGGTTACAGCAGCTTCTGCTTCAGCTGCAAATACGAGGATGGCTGCAAAGGCTCCTTCTTCAGACCATGGAAGCCGAACCAGCATGTCGCCTCAGTTTCCAGTGAGGCTAACCTCTAATTTGCAAAGTCTGCTCACAGATTTTGGAATAAAGTTCTTACTAGTACTTGTTTTATTTTCAGCCAACCCCGGTTGAACAACCTCGAATTCGACTAAAGATTCCACGCGAACGTATTCTTTCAATTCGTCCAACTGGTGAAGAAGAGGAAGATGATGAAGAAGATGGGGATGAAGAAGAAGATGATGAAGCGAGTGATGACAGCCGCTCATCCAGCAGTGATTCTGTTGGTGAAGAAATTGAGCTTCCACGTCGGGAAAGGCTATCAGCAAATGAGCCTGAATTCATTGTCATTCCAAAGCAATTGGATGTTCCCACAATAAAACCATTCTCTTCAGAATCAATAATTCATCCCCCTATAGGCTTGAAGCTTCAATCGAAACGATTCAGCGGGGACTGTGATAAGAATTCTGTGGCGAATAAGAAGTCCAAAGAAAAGAAGAGGCATAATGAGGAACGCCGCCTTTCTTCTTCCTCCTCTCCTGGAAGTGGGAGCAGCCCTCGACGGCTGGCTCCTCTTCGCATTCACCTGTCTCGAAACGGAACTTCTGCGGCCTTTTTAGCTACACCTCTCTCAGTTACATCCTATTCTTCGCCTTCAGCTTCCACTATTGTGTTACCTCCTCCACCACCACCGGAAAGGGACATCTCAATCACTGATGTAACGGTTGGAGGGCTAACAGTAACCATAAAGGAGTGTTCCACGCCGAAAAACTTCTTTGGAATTCCAACCTCACAGGTTGTTGCGAGCTCAAGACCTCCATTGGCCCCTCGTCCGATTGTAGAGAAGCTTGAGACCGTAGTTGCTAAGCCTCCTGCTTCTAAACCACCCGCAGAGGTACCAATGGACGAAAACAGTGAACCGCAGGCAATAGATGTTGTGGAGCAACCTCATAAAGTCAGTGAGGCACCAGAACCTTCTCCTCCTTTGGTACCGTCATCTACACTGCCGCCGCCACCGCCGCCTCCTCCTTCGCCTCCTCCTCCCTCTCCTCCTCTTCTTCCTCGCTCTCCTCTCCCCACCTCTTCTTCCCCTCCTCCTCCTCCTCCTCCTCTTCCCCCTCCCCCTCCACCGCCACTCCCACCTCCACCTTCTAGTTCGTCTCCAAAGGCTCCGATAAAAAAGATTGGTCGTCGAAATGCCTCGTCACGAAAGTCTTCCAATCCAGTGAAGAAGGTGTGTGGCCTTGCCGACACAATCCCTCCAACAAACAGGAGCATTGATGACAGTGTCTATGCCTTTCATGGCGATGATTCTCCCCCTCCTCCGTCCCCACCACCAAAAGCTGTGACGGAACCCACTCAGGTATCACCTCTGCCACCGCCACCACCGGAACCAGCGAAGTTACCTCCTCCTCCTCCTCTACTTCAAATTCCAACTCTGCCACCTATGGCATCGCCTTGGGAGACATACTTCAAGGCAATTGGCCTCTTCCCTCAAACGGAGCTTTTGAGTCCACCACCACCCTTGTTAACTATGCCGTCGACAGGGGGAATGTATCCGAACCCTTTTGTGCCTCCATCCACTCATTTGCAACACCTCCCACCGCCTCAACTACTTGCTGTGCCTCCAGGCAGTGCGATCATGGACGAGATGCAACCAATTGATTTATCGATGAGCTCTAGACGCTGATGCTGTGGATAAAGACTTCTCCTAGTCCATTCCCCCTATCTCCTCTCCTCTTAACCTAGTCTTTCTAGTGTACATAACCAAGTCCTGTATATGTTATTGTTATTGCTGTTGTGAACGAGAGAGAGAGAGCGAGATGTGTGTACTTCTACTTGCGCGAACTATTCATATTCCAATTCAGAAATACACAAAACCGGTTCCGGTGCCTACGTATCTATGGGATGTCTGGTGTTTTTCCTGGTAGAAATATTAATTTTAATGGATAAGAAAAATGTCATGGCTGTAAGAGTTACCTTATCTTCAGAGAGTAGCCATCTCTTTTATCACTCAAACAATAATACCCTTCTGGAAAGTAGGCCAGTCAAAACTACAAATATTATTTCCTTACAATAAATAGGTATAATCAACAAATTCTATCTTTTGCAAAATGAGACAGTTAAATCAAGCTGTTGTACACAATTTACGGTGAGAGAGGAGTGCATCACGTTTTAGTAGACTGGTAGAGTCAGCACAGCAATCCTACCTGTTATCGATTTTTTCGCAAATTGCTCCGTGTATTGATTGCCTTATCCATCAACTGTTCCCCTTATGGATTCGTTTATCACGTTGCTTCGAATCCAAGTGACTTCCTATCGGTTTGATACCGTCTTCTTTAATCCCTCCTTTCTTGAACCAGTTCAATAACCATAAACTCATAGGGAGAAAAGGAATGAGCATGGTAATAAGAATCTAAGTTACCATGTAGGTCCCATAACACGAGTTTATACATTAGCCATAAAATGGGTCGTGTTGATTGGCAAGCCTTAAGAATAGAGCCATTCTATTTGACTGCGGAGCATTTCTGAATTGTCAACTGCTAATTTGGTTTTCTTTCTGAAATAACTAAATCGTTAGACCTATCCTATTAGTGAGCAGCTCTCGTTGATCAAGTGCACATCCGCATAATCAGGGTAATGCGTGACCTTAGTGCCACATTTGACCCTCAAAATACTCTTGTAAGTGATTCATTCCTTTCCAGGCAAGCTGTAACACGTAGAACCATTAGACGTCAATTGGTTGGAACAGTTCAGTAGTTATGTGCCACAAAAAGCTAAGTTGTCTTCTGATGTTCTGTCAACTCGACTTTTATAAATTAGAAAAGACCATGAATCGGTTGTTGATCTTGCTCAACTTGGACCATTCTTAAATGCTGACAAGGCGACAGGCAGGCAGGCAGGTAGGTAGGTAAGCATGCATGTGAGGCGTTTTTGATCTTGAAAACGTACAAGGTCGCAGACTTCAGTCTGTTCTCCCGAAAATGGGCCAGACCACTTTACAGGATTGCATTTCAGGCATGCTCGTCGACTAGTTTCGTCGCTGCACTTCTTGAAAAGTCAGAACAACCTATGTGGATGTAGGTGGCTTTTAAAAACCTGTGGACGTTTTGATATACTCAGCCAATCACTTAACTCCGGATTATCAAAACCTTGTCCCAGGTAATCTGACACAATCTCCCAAGGCATCCGCGAATTTCAAATGAACAGCGACACTGCATGGAAGTGGTTATTTGGTTCGTTGGAGTACTGCATGGAGCCAAAAGAATTCATTTTTTGGACAAAAATAGATAAAACTCGGACGATTCTGCGTCTGAGACAGGGGAGGAACAATAACGAATTGCGATCATGCCTGAGATATCCAGGAAGAACATGATTTACGGCAGAATACATTTGTTCTGTGTACCAAAGATAAATTACTTGGAATCAAACTGAAGAAACAAGTTGCCAGATTCATAACTGTTTCACTAATTCCCAAGAGTGAAGCATTCTCAGGTGGAAATGGCTTAATGCTTTAATTCCAGCAGCGAAGCAAAAGCAGAAACGTCAATTAATGGTTGACTAAGTAGCACGCCTGAGCGGGCAACGGGCCGTCATTACGTACTGAGCAGTCTCCACTTCCTTTAATTCAGTACTCACCTCAAATAATGCCCAAAAAACGGGAACATATTTAGTGGACACCAAATGTCATCATTGCCGTTCAATAATGAACTGTTCTGTGGAAGTAAATTCATTCCTGCAGCAACATTTTTAATAAGTGCCATTCGATTTATGATCTGCCTCCAAAATAAAGAATGCCATAAAACGGTATTACGATTAGCACTTCAAAGTGCTTCGTTTCGGTATGGGCGAGTGGAAGTAATCTTTGAGTATGTTGCAATAAAATAAATTGCTGCTTTTATTATCATCATCTCAATAAGATTTGAGTAATAGGGTCCTTTAGGCGAAAATTTCGATATATACCAAATTTTTTATTCGGTAATCTCAAACTAGGCAAATCTAACCAATTGAAGATGTCAATTCGCCTGACGCCAGAGGGGATTCTTACAGACTTACTTCTCTCCAATTTTCAAAATCTCCAGTTATCGACTTCTTTTCTAGTAAGCCAATGAAACATTGGTTGTAGCACAACTGACCTTGGAGTTTAACCAATCATATCAATGGAAATGGACAGGTGTTCATTGAGCAGGTGGGGTGCTAAAAAGGATGCAAATCAGCTTGTATCTACTCTTATTAACATTTATGCAGTAATTTATTCAAGAATCATGGGGCTTGTGTGTATGTGGATGTGTATACGTGGCTGTGGATTGAAATGAGGTGCCAAAATTGAAGGTCTCTTTACTGTACCTTATGGAGATCTTACTTCTTCTTCGTTTTTACCTAATTTGCTGTTGTATTATACACTGGAGATGAGTGTAAGGGAAATGAGTGCCAGAAACTACAAATTATGGGATGTAGGTAGACAAACACACTGGCAAAGGAATGGTCAATGGCCCGATTTCACCCACATTGTAAAGAGATCAAGAAATATGGAGGATTATTTGGCCAATTCACCATCAGAATTGCAAATATTTGATGTTTTATTCGCTAATGACAAATGAGATCACTCCTCAAAGTGTTTTGGAAGCACGACTGGCATAAAAAAATACGTATTTACCATATTCATGAGGAGAGCATTTACTTCGTGAGCTGAGGCGGTGTACTAGCTCGTGTGCCCCTACTACAAATGGTTAGATTTTTGCTCTGTTAACTGGATTTTCCTCGTAACTACCTCCTAATAGTAAGACGTGTTTTCGTGGCATTTGCTACAACTTGCATCCACAAGCATAATTAAATGATCTTATTTGACAGACTCACAACAACTAATGTACTTCATGGCATAGCGCATCAGTCAGTAAAACTAATTTGGTTGAAATGAAAACACTTTTAGACTATCAGCCGAGAATAAGAATTTTCCTCACATTTTCCCTGTTGGGGAGGCAAAATAATTAGGCTTCCTGTCAAAGTGGGAGCCAATCTTTCGACAGAACCAAATGTTTAATTCGATTCACCATATTTAAGTCAAATAAAATGTTCATCTACTTTGTGTCAGTAAACAGGGGCTTCATATATTAAATCAACTGAAATTCCGCTTCCTTGAAGCAAAATACCTAGAGACTACCAATTCCAGCTACTGACTCCGGATTCGCCTCTATGCTTTGTGAGGCCTCTGTCTAGATAGCCTCCCATTATTTCTGATATCGGAACAGGTTAACAGGAACAAAATAACTTCAAATTGACATGTGCATTACGCGTCGATGGAACTGCCCTTTTTGGTTCAGGTGTGGTTCGCTGTCACCAAATGACACACATGTCGCACGTATATTGTGTCGGCATCTTTGCCCATTGTATTCAAAGCTTCCTTTTAGTGACAAGAAAAGTAAACTGGAGAGTGAAAATCATAACATTGTAGCAGTCATCCTGCACGTGAACAGTTTATACGAACCAATGAAGAGAGAGCCTTCTGTCGTACTGTTGTAGCGCAGACTGTCTCATTCTCCAACATTAATAATGGGAGAAATGCCTGATTGACAATCATGAAGAAAAACAAAGTCATCAGTAGAAATGATGGAATGATGTGTTTAACAGTGGAGGAAATGAGGAAACGTCGTAGTGAATGCTGATGTATGTTTTCGTTCATTGATTAGGGTGTCATTTTGCTGAGCAGTGACAAGTCAATCTGATATGCATTAGACGTGATCGGAAAGTATAAGTCGGTATTTAGGTTTAAATTATTTTGGCTAAGCAACAAAAATATCAACGTTGTTTATGATAGGATTATATGTGCTGGGAATTCAGGTTTTTGCAACATGTCATGGGAACAAGGTGTTGTATGGGATTAAATTCAACCCTGTGAACAAAGGGAAAAATTATTCGTCAAGATACGTGAGGCTACTGGGTTATAAGGATTTAGCCTAATCTCCTTTCAATGAGCTGGATTCAGTTTAATTCGTCATTAATCACATTGAATCGGTTTGAGAACATTCGGATCAAATCATCCATCCCAACATTGCCATTGCATTTCGATAGAAGTAAGTACCTCCTCTTAGTATTACTAAAAAACTGAATCGAAACGCGTACCAAAAAAGTCATGAACTTGGGCTTCAGCGAAACCAGCAAAAACAAAGTTTGCTGACCCTCACGTTCCCAAATATCTTAGTGAATAATCCCTGGTTCAGCTGGAATAAGTTCATTCGTAACTCTGGCCTTTGGAAACTTTTATGAGGGATTCAAGTAGCAAAGTTTATGTTATTGAGGCAGAGCTATCAGAGGGACGAGGATTAGATTTGGGCGAGTGGTAGAACCAGAATCATGGATGGTAAGTCAGGCCCATTTTCGCCTCGTTCCACGGAAGAGAGCGAGAGGCATCACTGGCGACTGAGTGGGGGATGAGTCACGGCATGAATAATTGAGGTGTGGGGGTGGGTCGGAGACACCGTCGCATGCTGTTTTAGCACGTAGGGGACGGGAGAACAGAGGGTAGGGCGCAGAAGGGAGGGGGGAACGGAGATCCCATCCTGTTTAGACACGCCTAACAACGAGTGGGTGATAAAGGTCGCAGGATGTTGTTGCAACCTTCAAAATGATCACCAGCCGACTGCTACACCTACCTGACCATAGGGTGTCATCTATTAGCAACTTTAGGGTGCT